GATCAATATGTTTGTGATCGCTAAAATTATTCAACCATTTCAAAAAAAAAAATTATCATTATTACACACCACATATAGATAGATTTGTCTCTTTCTTTCTTTGCATTACTCTCATCACACAGACACGAAAAATGTAATGTGATTTGATTGAGAAATAATCGAAACGAAAAAAAATGTTCGGGCAATATGGGTTATGAATGAATGAAAAAAAATATAGTGAAAATGATGAAAAGTCAGGCTAGGAATGACAAATTTTTTTTTCAAAAATAACATATTTGACAGACTCTGGGCACAATGATCTTTTCTTTCTTTCTGATGATGATGATGATGATTAGGTCATTGATCGAATAACTATGTTATGTTGATTATGATTGGTGATTGGTAATAATGTTTGTTGTCATCAAATATAATTGTCGTTTGTTTGTTTGATTGGTCGATATTCGATAATTGTCATCATCATCAATGATGTCTATGAGAATATTGTTGGATCAATATGGATGAATGAATTTCATCATCCTCATTTGTAATTTGTAACCTGATTTATTTCTAATAATAAATTTTTTTAATGATGATGATGATGAATGTCCACAAATAAATCAATTAGATAGATCAAATTGGCGACAGCAACTGACTGACTGACTTGTTTGATTTGAATATTTGAAAATTGAATTTTGATTTTTGAATTTTCAGCAAAAAAATTTTACAGTTTTAACATGATGATGACAGGATGGATATTATTATCATTCATTCATTCAATAAACAAAACTAAAACCAAATCAAAACTAACAAAAACGTATTTTTGTTTCTTTAGAAAAAAAAATTCTATGACGCCCACGATATTTTCACAGCTAATAATTTTTTTTCCGTTTTTTTTCGGGTAAATTTTTTCGGGCAGAAGAAAATCTATACCACATAATTCATGTCCAGTCAGTGAGAAAACAAAAATCCTTTCAACAAAAAACTACGACCACCACCATCAACAAAACACATAATCATCAAGTAGGTTTTAGTTTTCTGGGTTAAAATCGATTAAAGGTAAAAAAATTTAAGGCAAACAAAAAATGTGACCACTATGATACCGGCCACACTATCATTATCATTTCACAGGAAAAAACATCATCATTTCAATAAACAGGGGGATAATAATCATCGTATGAACATGGCATCAATGATATATAAACATAAACAAACAAACAAACAAATATGGTAGAGAGAAAGAAAAAGGCGAAAATCTTTTATTGAAAAATGAATGCGATGTGATTTGAATATCGATGATTTACAAAGCCAAGCAAATGAAAATGATGATCATCATGATGTATATTAGGTGTGGTGTTTGGATGATTTTGTTTCGTTTTTCGTTTTTTTGGCTATTTTTTCGTTCCCCTTATGGTTACCACCGGATTGTTTTGTTTGGTTGTTTTGGCAGAAAAAAACAACGATTTGCCGGACTTTCTTTATAAGTTTTTTTTGCTGGTGGATATTCATCCGATGACACGAGTGTGATATGAATAGATCTTTTTTTTCTGACTTTTTCTGACTGTTTTTTTTTTGTTTGTGTGCAATACCGATGGTCGATATTATTATTATTATTACAGTTTTTTTTCATTCAAACAAATCAACCAACCAAACAAACAAACAAACAACAACATTTGTACGACGCCCGAATTTTATTTTTCTTGTCCGACGAAAGAAAAAATGATGATTCTTTAAGATGAATGGACTGTGATGAACGAACGAATGATGATGATGACCACCACAAGCGGTCGGTCATCATCGTCCAACATCATCATCAACATCATTTCACCATAGTGGCCAAAGATTAATTTTTGATGATGATGATCATCCAAGAAGAAAAAAACATTAAAATTTAATCGAATATCCATTACCTTGCCAAGAAACTTTTAAAAAAACAAACAAACAAACATTCCAGCTTGCACACAATGAAAGGTGACAGGAAAGGTTTTTTGGTTTAGTTTTTTGCTTGAAAAATTATTATTATGAATAAAAGGCGTCATCCTTATGATGATGATGATGATGGTTATTCAATTCATTCAAATTCATTCACATGATGATTATGTTTTGTATTGAATTTCATATCCATATTGTCTTCAATCAAAAAAAAATGGACAATATGATGATTTTGATGATGATGATAGCCATTTGGTGGAAAACTTTTTTTGTTTGCGAAAGAAATATATTTTATAAAGAATCTTTTCAACAGTTAAAATGATGATGATGATCTTTGATGGCATACAATATACACCCACGCGCCTTACAATTGAATCAAAATGGACACACAGAAAACCAAAACATTGTGTGTGTGGATTTATTTTCCATAAAGTTTTCTCACTATGATAATGGATTATCATGAAATTCAAATAAATAAAGTTTGATGTTGATGAAATAAATAAAAAAATCTAGAAGCTTGTCTTTAAGTTTCAGTTTTCTCTTGATCTTATTTTAATTTGTTTACTGATTAGGATTTTTCCTGAGAATGAAACTGAATACTTTCTTGATGTTTTGTTTTTCTTCTTTCGTTTGCTATTCTATCACGATCAAAATGATTGAATCTGATTTTAATTGCTGTTGTCGTTGTTGGAAATTATATATCGAAAAATTCTCGAGTCGATTCTGGTCGATATTTTTTATATTATATAATTTTTGGCAAATATGGAGATTAATTACAATAATAAATTGTAATTAATAATAATTTATTATGCAAATTTTTGTTATAATTAATGTATGCAAACTTTGCGCCTACACACACATCACACAATACAGAAGCGACGATTATTATTATGATATTATGATTTTCATAAGACAACCAGGAAACATATTGTTGTTGTTATGCAATATGTTTTTTTCGTTGGTGGTACATGGCAAATGAATGAATGAATGATAAGAATGTTTTCCTCTTTGATTTGATTAAATCTGAAATTCACATTATTTGGTCGGTCCAAACAGAAAAAAAAACATTAAAGATGTTTGGAATATTAAGATAATTAATAAGAAATTATTGTTTTGTGAAAAGGAAGAAGAAGAAAAGAATGATCCATTTGTGAAATTTGAATTTTCAAATTAAAAACTGATGTTGCCCTTATTTTTTACCACTTTTTTTCACTTTTGATTTTGGATGTCGTACGTGTACGTACAATTCTGAAAATTGAAATTTATCTTTTGAATGAATGAAAAAAAATCCGGAAAAATCAATCGAAATTAATTTTTTGATTGGAAATTCATGTCAACGAAAACCGAATTGATTCGTACCAACGAGAGTAAACAACGTTAAATGAAAAAATATTTTTTCTCTAGTTCCGTATTCGCGCATCACATAACACAATTATCATCATAGTCATCATTAACGCTATCCACCATCGTCAACAAAAGGCATTTTGATTCGATTCCAAATCACGAGTGTTTGGATGATTGAAACGAAAAAAATTGAAAAACATTTAATGAAAAAAAATCAAAGTACCAATGGCGCCACACAGTCAATATTTTATTGACCCATAGTGTTCTCCATTTGATCACTATCCGAGCGTGTCACACATACACTATTATTGTGTTTTCTTTCTAAGATTTCTTCTTTTTTCGTTCTTTCTTTTTCTGTTCGATAATTTGACGAATTGTGTGAACATGGAACTATAGTTGGACAAAATGGTAGAAAAACTGTTTCAAACTCTCACTCGTCGTTGATGACAACAACAACATTCATCAATTAAAATCAACAACAACAACAATTGTTTGGATTCGATTGATTGGAGATTTATAATCCTTTAGTGATCTAGATTTTGTTGGATCAAAATGGTCGTTTTTTTTTCTTTCTCACTCTTTTGGTTTGAAAAAACTTTATTTACAAGTCTTATGAGTGTGTGTGTGTGACCATTTTTGACTTGAGAACAAGAAAATCAAGCAACGACAATGGCGACATTACATTTTTTTTTTTGAAAGAGAAGATATTTTTAGGTAATGGACACGGCTCATAGGCAAATAGGGAACAACAATAATAACAAAATACTAATGATGATTGTTGTTTATGACGCCCATTCTTTTCTTTTCTTTATTTCTTTTTCTCTTTCTTTGCTTTACATTGATGATGGTCATTGGACAAGCCAGCAAACAAACAAAACAAAAAAACTTATTACCTGCCCAACCATGATGAGCTATATATATTGTGTGTCCATTGAAAAAGAAAAACAATTCAAAGAAAAAGAGTAAAAAGAAAAAACAATGAGTTAAGATAAAATGACTGGCAGTTTTTTTTCCTTCTTTTTCTATTGATAATGATTGAAAATATCATCATTATGAATAACTGAAAGATGACCTGAAGAGTTCTGATTTTTTTTTCGTTGTTCACTAATTACAAACTGAATATATAAATAAATAAATAAGCAGACAAGGAAAAAATTAAATCAATAGATAATTTGGAACCAAGTTGCTGTATTTATGTTTGTTGTCGTCCAATAAAATAGTGTTTCTTTTTTTTTTTGAAGGAAAATCACATTTTAGTGATAATTTTCCATTCGGTTAATTCTCCATCCCCTTAGGACTAAGATAGTATAATTTATATGATTGTCCATGCGTGGACAGCAGCAGCAGTGAATATTTTTATTTTTATTTCAAGGGAGCAACAAAATGTCATTATACGACAAATATTACGCCAAAGCAAAAAAAAAAATAAGGGTAAGTCTGTATGTCATCCATTCGACCAAAAAAATAGTTGTTTGGTCACTTTGTTATAGGTTTTGTTCATAATGATAATTATCATCCTTTTTTCGGACATTATGATTATTTGCCTTTTTTATGGTGGTGGCTCCCTTTATTTTCAAAAAAATAGGTTCAATTTTTTTCAAATCTGCTATCGCCATCTATTTGCTATAAAAATCAACTAAAAATTTTCCCTCCATTTTTTTTTTGATTAAGAGTTTCCGATTTCGTACAATAGATGGCAATCGAATATTCATTGAATTCTTATTGAAAATCCGGATAGACCACGCCTTCTTGAGTTCAATTGTGTACCGTCTGTGTTGAATGGACAAACACGTTGTTTTCATTTTCCATTGTCATTTGTTGTTGTTTGTTTGTTTGTTTGCCGGTTATTTTTGGAAAATAATTTGTTTGTTTCAAAGAATTTGGATCATTTTTTTCAACTTTACATCATCATCATTTGTCCATCATAACATTATAATCGAACAAAAATGGCTGCTCCACAAAAACCAAAAAGTGAAATGTCACAAGAAGAACTTCAAAAACTTGAAGAAGAAGAATTCAATACTGGTCCATTATCGGTATTAACACAATCGGTTAAAAATAATACTCAAGTATTAATTAATTGTCGTAATAATCGTAAACTGCTTGGTCGTGTAAAAGCATTTGATCGTCATTGTAATATGGTACTTGAAAATGTAAAAGAAATGTGGACCGAAGTTCCAAAAAGTGGTAAAGGTAAAAAGAAAGCTAAACCCGTTAGCAAAGATCGTTTTATATCGAAAATGTTTCTACGTGGTGATAGTGTTATACTTGTATTGAAAAATCCATTGGCTACCGAAGCAAAACATTGATTGATGTCATCCAAGCAACAAAAAACAGTATGAATTTTGTAAAATAATTTTCAAATTCATTTTCTAAAATTTTCTTTTTCAATTTTCTATAGATCGCTTCAACATTTTTTCCGTTCATTTATTTATCAATGTCCTACGAACATTTATTATTTTTTTTGTATATTAAATTTTTCATTTGATTTTGGCTGGATGAAACCTGTTTTTTTTTTGCTACTTTTGTATTTTTCGCATCTATTCAGATCAACAATGAATAAAAACTTTCATTTTTTTCAACCAATTCAAAATCAAAAGAAGATTTTTTATTTCGAACAAACCAAATTCACAGTTGAAATATTGATTTAATTATCCTTTTATCGTTCATCCTGTTTATTTAAAAAGTGAAATCATTATCAATTTATAATAATTATAAAAAATTTCATTCCATTCATTCATTGTCAATGTTATCGTTTATAATAATGATGATTGCCTTTGTCGTTAATTTGCGATTCCCTCGTGATCGATTGCGTGATGTGATCATCATCGTGTTTGGGTGCATCATTATGGATGGATTTTTTCTTTTGAAAAAAAAACATGATGGTGGATTGATGAATTTCAATATTGAACTTTTTCTTTGTTTTCCTACTGAATGATAATGATAATGACGATCATCATCTTCATCTTCATTTTAATGAAATTGATGATTAATCAAATGCCATTAGTTTGTTTTTTCATGAAAATTATCTTCAAGTTATTATTATTATGGATTCTATCTATCTTAAATTTAAAATCCTTGACATTGAATTTAAAAAAAAACAAATATAATCAACAATCATCATCATCATTATTATTAATATTTGAATGATAAACATTTCAAATTGTAATCAATAATTGATAATCCTTGCACTTGACAATCGATTGTTTTGATTATAAACAATAATTATTATCATCATTAGTTGTTTACTTTGACATTGAACGTGAAATATGTTTTTGTTTTGTTTTGTTTGCAATATTTTTTTTTTGTTTTGATGAACATTTTCTTGAATTTTCAACATTGACATTGAATAATGATTCTATTTTTATAAATGATGACAATACACGTGATTATTATCATTGTTTGGTCTGGATATTTCAAAAAAATTCAATTATCATTCAGTTTTTTTCAGATCAGGAAGCTAGCTAGTCAGTATCTGGTGTGCGTGTTAATGTTTCCGGTGTGTTTTTATATTCAAATATTTCCAGCCTTTATTTGTATGATTCTTTTGTTTGTTTGTAAAAATCATTTTTTTTTTCATTCAAAGGTTGAAATTTTTGTTTTGTTTTGTTTGTTTAATTATCATTTTGACGGTTTGACAATTTTTTTTGTTGTTGTCCAACAAAAAAATCGGTTTTTTTTTCATCGCTAATCGATTGACAGTTGATGATGATGATGATCATAATAATAATCGATTTGGATGAAACATTGAAAGCAGCAGCATCCATGT